GTTATAGCTGTTTGAATATTGGGTTGTTGTAGGTTTTTTGGCCTATATGACCATGTTCTAGAAGCATTCTCTCCTGATGTTTCACCTGCATCTATGTCAAGCAATTGATTACAGTCAGTGACCTCACAACCTCTGAGGATGCTTGTCATAGATGCAGGCGAAACATCAGGAGAGAATGCTTCTAGAGCATGGCCATATAGCCCAAAAAACCTACAACAACCCAGTGATTCCAGCCATGAAAGCCTTCGACAATGTTTGAATGTTAGCTGTAACATGGGACTAAGACATAAAACATAACAGGTTTAGCAGATTTGTTGAAGATATGAGATTACAACCTACTATGAACACAGAGAAGTAATTGTAATGATGCTTTATAACCAATAGCAGGTCTACTGAAAGCAGCACTTTTGAGGAACTTATTTCTAGAACAAGTAAACTTGGAAGAAGGGACAGCATGGAGGGAGATACTATTGTTATAAAACTGCGTTGGAGTGTGTGTGTTAGAAGATCTTCATAATACATATATATGTGCATATCATGCACCAGTGGTTTAAGCATTGGACAAGGACTCTAAAGACCAGGGTTCGAATACTTATTTGGCCATGAAAGCCCTCTGGGTGATTCCGGATGAGTCATAACACTTACAAACTGTGATAGATTTGCCTTAGGGTCATCATATGTTGGAATGGACTTAAGGCACTCAACATTGATTTCACTGATTCTAAGCGCTTCCTTAGAATCAGTTAGGGGTTCCAAACATGGAGTACACCTTGAAATTGATGGCACCTTAGATTCAGTGGTTTTGGAGCCTGTAAAACTGTGAAGTGTTTACTTCAGGGGAGTGGTAGAGGGGAGGAGGAGAAGGTGAAGGAAAAAGGGCTTCAAGGTAATAATAGCTCTGGTTTTGGCATTTTAATGGCTTATCTCTGAGAGAGAGAGAGGAGGAAGAGAAGGAAGGTCCCCAACGCCTTGACCACCCCCATCATTTTGTCATCAGCCTCAGCCAGCCAGCTGTTTGCCAGTCTGGCTGAGCCAAGCCCCACCTCCTGCTTCCCCTATCTCCCCAACAGCCCATAGAGCTAAGGAAAAAAAAACTCCACATACAGTAAAGATGAATTCCATGTTGAAACAAAAAGAGCATTGTGCATGCAGAGGAAATTCTAAAAAATATTATAAGGCCCCCTCCTCCGATTTAAGCTTCGAAAAGGGGGGTACTTTTTATATCCGATAGTAATTTAAGTATTGGATTAGGACTCTGGAGACTAGGCCATGAAAGCCCTGGGTAATCCAGGGAAAGTTTTTCAAAATTATTGTTTGGGCGATGATGGTAAGTTTTAAATGTAATTTTAATTGTATTTGTTGCAATTTAACTTCATATCCACACACTTGTATTTTTTTAATTTTTTGTATTTGTTTTGTTTTAAATTGTTATTAGATGGTGTGGTTGTTAGCTGCCTTGAGTCCCTATCGGGGAAAAGGTGGGATATAAATAAAGTTTAATGTTTGGAAAGTTGTGCCTGAGCCAATGAGGAGGTCTTCTGGGATCTGATGTCCACAATACTTTGAAGGCCGGAGTTGCAGAAACACTCACTGGATGGCCCTTTGGAAATGGACAAGGCATGGAGGGAGGGGGAGGCTCTCATACAATTTTATGGTACTTTGATCCCACATTCCCACTGGATACCGCTCAAATAGGGAAAGTGGAAGGGACCCAAGGGAGGGAAGGGAGAGGTTGCCTCCATACAACTTTATGATACTCTGACCATATATTCCTACCTGGTATCACTCAGGAAGAGAAGGGAGGTGAGGCAAGGCAAGGCAAGAAAGTGCAACAGGTCCTGTAGCTCAAATAAAGCAAGTAGAAGGGAGGCAGGAATGGGGGGAGGTTATTATACATCTTTATAATATCCCTCCCGATATAGCTCAAATAGGGAGAATAGAAGAAAGGCAAGGCAAGAAGGAGTACCATACAACTTTATATACTCTGGCCCCATATTCCCACCCGATACAGCTCAAATAGGGAGAGTAGAAGGGACACAAGGAAGAGGGAAAGGTTGCCATACAACTTTATGGTACTCTGAGCCCATATTCCCACCTGATATCTCAAATAGGGAGAGCAGAAAGGAGGCAAGGGGGAGAGGAGAGATTCCCAAACTACTTTATGATACTCTGACCATATAGTCCACCTGATATATCCCAAATAGGGAAAGTAAATGGGAGATAAGTGGGCACTGCATACAACTTTATAGTGCTCTAGTCCCATATTCCCTCTTGATATCGCTCAAATAATGAGAGTAGAAGGGAGGCAAGGGAGGGGGAAGGTTGCCATGCAACTTTATAGTACTTTGATCTCATATATCCCACCTGATATATCTCAAATAGGGTGAGTAGAAGGGAGGTAAGGGAGGGGGGAGGAGAGAGGTTCCCATACAACTTTATGATACTCTGACCAAACCATCCTACCTGATAAAGGGGGAGAGTAGATGGGAGGGAAGGGGGTGTGGCATACAACTTTATGGTCTCAAGTCTCTAATTCATACAATATAATCATAGAATCAGAGAGTTGGAAGAGACTTAGTGGGCTATCCCGTCCAACCTCCTGCCAAGAAGCAGAAAAATCACATTCAAAGAACCCCCGACAGATGGCCATCCAGCCTCTATTTAAAAGCCTCCAAAGAAAGAGCCTCCACCACACTCCTGGGTAGATAGTTCCACTACTGAACAGCTCTCAAAGTTAGGAAGTTCTTCCTCATGTTCAGGTAGAGTCTTCTATCCTGTAGTTTGAAGCCAGAAAACAAGTCTGCCCCCCTCCTCCCTATGACTTCCCCTAACATATTTATACACGTGTCACTTGTTCAATGTCCAAGGATTGTGTAAAGTTTGCTAAGCAGCAATCCAGTGTGTTAGTAATCTCTAGTGCAAAAACCCTATATATTCTGTTCGTTGTTTTTCATAGAGCTGGATGGTGTTCCATGGGGTTTTAGTTCAACTTCCCCAGAAGAGAGCTGTCTAACGCTGAAATCTACTTTCCTCTAACTTGAGACCATCTTGTCCTATCTTCTGGGACAGCAGAGAACAAGCCTTCTCCCTTCTCTCTGTGACAGACCTTGAGGTGCTTAAAGAATGTGATTAGAATCGTAGAATCATACAGTTGGAAGAGACCTTGTGGGCCATCCAGTCCAACCTCCTGCCAAGAAGCACCCCAACAGAAGCACCCATTCAGCCTCTGTTTCAAAGCCTCCAAAGAAGGAGCCTCCACCACACTCTGGGGCACAGAGTTCCACTGCTGAACAGCTCTCACAGTTAGGTTCTTCCTCACGTTCAGGTGGAATCTTCCTTCCTGTAGTTTGAAGCCAGAAAACAAGTCTCTCCCCCCCCCCCATGACTTTCCCTCACATATTTGTCATGAATGATTTGTCATGTTGATGTTTAATTGTTGTTATGCTTTTAAATGTTCCCATGATTTTGTAATATGTGTATTGAAACTGTTGTTGTTAACCGCTTTGAGTCGCCTAAGGGCTGAGAAAAGTGGTATATAAATGAAGTAAATAATAAAATAAATAAATAAATAATATTTATACATGGTTATCTTATCTCCTCTCAGCCTTCCAATTCCTTCCTCTCCTTTCCTCCTGATATACAGTAGAGTCTCGCTTATCCAACCTTCACTCATCCAACATTCTGTATTATCCAACACAGTCTGCCTCCTGCCTGGATCCACAGCTGTTTCGATACATTGTGATGTTTTGATGCTAAATTCATAAATACAGTAATTACTATATAATTAACTTGAGTCGCCGATTGGCTGACAAAGGCGGTATACAAATACAGTAGATAAATAAATAAACATTATACTGTATTGAACTGCCTTTCCTGTCGATTTGTTGTAAAACATTATGTTTTGGTGCTTAATTTGTAAAATCATAACGTAATTTGACGTATAATAGTCTTTTCCTTAATCCCTCCTTAATTATCTAAAGTTTTATTATTATTATTACCCAACATTTTAGGTTATTCAACTTTTATTCATAAAATAGAATCATAGAATCAGAAAGTTGGAAGAAACCTCGTGGGCCATCCAGCTCCACTGGTTGCCGATTAGCTTCTGAGCACAATTCAAAGTACTGGTTTTAACCTTTAAAGCCCTAAACAGTTCTGGCCCAGACTACCTGTCCGAACGTATCTCCAGTTACGAAATATCACGAAGTTTAAGATCATCCGTAGAGGCCCTGCTCTCGGTCCCACCGCCATCGCAAACACGATTGATGGAGACGAGGGACAGGGCCTTCTCAGCAGTGGCCCCCTGTCTGTTGAACTCTCTCCCGAGAGACGTCAGACTGGCCACCTCCCTCCTGTCTTTCAGAAAGAAACTTAAGACTTGGTTATGGGACCAGGCATTCAACTACTGATTAGCAGTAAATGGAAAGATGACCTAGGCATGAAGTTGGGGGTCAGGCCCGTAGCCAGGATTTCGATTTGGGTGGGGGGGCTGAGTTTTTTTCAGGGGGGGTTTCAGGGGGGGCTGAGTTTCGGGGGGGGGGCTGAGTCTGAGTGAAAGAGGGTCTAGCCTAGCAAACCTTTTGTATCATTACCCCAATACCCCCATGCATATGGGATATATTGAGTATGGTGATCAGATCATGATATGAATAAACATAACAGTTTAAATAATGCACCAGTAAGGCCTTTTCGCGAACCACCATGAGAATTGCGGGGGGGGGCTGAAGCCCCTCAAGCCCCCCCCCCCCCCCCGCTACATGCCTGTTGGGGGTTCCCATTCAACTTGATGGTGCTCCGACCCCCAAGTCCTACCTGATACAGCTGAAATAGGGCGAGTAGAAGGGCGGCAAGAAGGGGGGAAGTTGCCATACAACTTTAAGATGCCCTCCTGCTATAGCTCAAATTAGGCAAGTGGAAAAAAGGCATGACAAGAAGGTAGGTGGGTGGGAGGGGGGGGGGTTCCCATCCAACTTGATGGTACTCTGCCCCCCGAGTCCTACCTGATGCAGCTGAAATAGGGCGAGTAGAAGGGCGGCAAGGCGTCCTTGAAGCCGGCCAGGTGCTGGCTGCCCGGGAAGGCGAGGGGCTGGTAGAAGGCCTGGGGCGAGGAGGTGGAGAGGGAGGTGGAGGTGGAGGGGAGGCTGAGGCCGTTGTCCCGCGTGGGGAGGCAGCCGGGGGCGGGGGTTTTGCAGGGCGCCGCTCCATACGAGGCGGCCATCTCCGCCTTGTAGAGGATGCTCTCCAGTGCCGAGGAGGGGGCTTCGTGCTCGTGGGGAGAGACCCCGTTGCCTACAATGTTCTTGAGCAGAGCAGGAGCAGGAGGTGGAGGAGGAGGAGGAAGCGCCTGCCCCGGCTGCCCCGACAGCTTGGCGCTCAGGTAGGCGTTGTTTTTGCCCAGAGTTTCCTCCTTGATCTTGAACCCGGCCTGCGCGTCCCCACCGAGGAGCCCCTCCTTGACTGAATGGCCGTTGTGGTGGTACAGGTAAGGCGCCAAGTCCGAAGAGGGAGGCGAGGAGGAAGAGGAGGAAGGGGCGCCGGCGAAGGCTCCGTTGGGATAGCCCTCCCCGTCGAGCAGCTGCCGAGTCCTGGCGGCCAAATAAGCCGAGTTGAGGGGCAAAAGGCTGAAGAAGTCGTGGCCTCCTCCGTCGGAGGCGTGCGGGAGCCGAGTGCCGGGCCCTGAGGCGGGCTTTCCCCCTTCCTCCTCCTCCTCCTCTTCTTCCTCCTCCTCTTCCTCCTCTCCGTCCGCCTCCTTCGAGGGCAAGCTGGCGTTGGCTGTGCCCTCCAAGTGCGCCTCTTCGGCGCCGAAAAAGGGCCACGTCGGGGCTGGAGGGTTCCCTTCGGGGTTGGCTTGAGGGACGACGGAGGGGGAGGAAGAGGAGGGGGGCGCAGGGGTCAGGAGAGTATCCAGGACCCGGTCCAGGGAAGGGCAGCCTCCCTGGGCGCCCCCTCCTTCCTCTTCATTGCCCTCCTCCTCCTCTTCTTCCTCTTCCTCCTCCTCCTCTTCTCCATCCTCGCAACTCCTGGGGTACAAGATCCCATCCAGGGATAAGTCAATGGCTTCGAAAGCCTCCCTTCGAGGGAAGGGGTCTTCAGCGGGTGGCAGAAGGGAAGAGGAGGAACAGGCAGCGATGAAATCCCTGGCGTCGCTTTTGGTCTTCACGTCTTTCATTTTTCCAAGTGAGAGAGTCAGTCAATACAATTCAGGAAAGGCGGGCAAAGCGGGTCCAAGCGTTGTCCTCAATCCACATCTCGGGTTTTTCTCCCTCTCTCTCCCGAAGTTTCTCTTCTCCGAGCTCCTCCTCTCCCGTCTCCTTCCTTTGAGAGCCCAGCGTTGAAGACCGAGGCTCAAGAAGCTCCCAAGGACACGCGTCTCTTCTTTCTCACTTCAGCGCTTTGCCTTGAGTGCGGTTTCCCTGCTTCTTGGATGGCCCACGAGGTCTCTTCCAACTCTAGGGTTTTGCAGCGAGTCCTACAAAGCCCATCAGGAAAGTTGCCTTCAAAGTAGAGGCTCCAAGCTTGCGATGAAACGTCGCTCCTTTCAGGCAGGCACACAATTCTGATACACTTCCACGCCACTCAAAATCGCAATGGTATATTTCCTTGTTGTTCTGGAAACAGCTCCAGAAAGTGGTCTCGCGCGCGCCGCAAATGGGGAATTACGGTAAAGCGGGGCTGCCTGGGCGCTCCTTCGCCTTCTTTCTCCAATGGGGACTCGTGCAGGCTTCTCTCTCTCTCTCTCTCTCTCTCTCGCTCTCTCGCTCTCTCTCTGGCAAGAGGAGCCTGGGCTCCACTGGCTGCCTGCCTGCCTTGAACGGAGAAGCTGACAGGAGGCTGCCAGAAGGGTCACCCCGAACCTGGCGACCTACTAAGAAGGAAAGAAGTGCAGCCAAACTGCGGGGAAGAGCAGCAGAACTCTGGCTCGGATCCGAGCTCAGCCCTGACCCCTAGTGGCCCAAACTCCACATGCTGCACTCTGCTCCGACCTGCAGGGAGAGCAGGGACTGCAGCTCTATACAGCAGGCATGGGCCAATTTGGGCCCTCCAGGTGTTTTGGACTTCAACTACCACCATTCCTCACAGCCTCAGGCCCTTCCCAGCCATTGTTCCGCGTCCTAGTCTCCAGGGAAGCAGAAAACAAGCTTGCTCCCTCCTCCCTGTGGCTTCCTCTCACATACTTCACGTACTTCAACTTTGTCTCTAGTATCCTTCCCTCCAATGAGCAGTCAGGCTTTATTTCCTGGAGGATGGACTGGTTGGATCTACTCTAAGTCCAAGGCACTCTCAGAACTTTCCTCCAACATCCATGGTCCATTGGCCCACAAACCCCACCCAGATGTAGAGTGGGTCATGGGGGCGCTCTGTGGCAAGTTTGGTCTTTATTGGTAATTGGATTAGTGTTGCTGTGGTCTCATGAAGTGATTGAAGGTACTGCAAGTCCCATCATCTATGGTCCATCTCCTCCAAACAGCACCAGGATGTAAAGTGGGTCATGGAAGCTCTGGGTGCCAAGTTTGGTTTTGATCAGTCATTGGATGAGGGTCGCAGTGATCGCGGGAAGTGAGTGAGCCCTTAATGGGGAAAAGGAAGGGGCCTGAGGCTGTGAGGAATGGTGGGAGTTGAAGTCCAAAGCACCTGGAGAGTCCAAATTTGCCCATGCCTACTATACAAGCAGCCCTGGTCCGACTTACAAATGACTTATAGTTAAAAACAGGGGGTGAGACAACAAGAAGTGAGAGAAATCTACCTCTCAGGAGGGGGATTCACCTCTGAAAGTGATAATGGAGAAAACCTGTCTCCACTGAAGCTTTATCCCCAATCCTTGTTTCCACAAGCCATTTTTTTCAAAATCCAATGATTGCAGGACAAAAAGTGAAGTAAAGTCTTCTGAACAGGGACACAGGCAGCAAAGAAAGCCCACATAGGTGTCAACCCTTCCCTATGCTATCCATAGCTAATATATTTGGCTGGAGTAGATTTCAATGTTGAACAGCTCTCTGGTGGGGAAGCCTGAACTAAAAACCCCATGGAACACCATCCAACTCTGTGAACAACAACAAACAAAACACATAGTTTTTGCATAACTAACAGGTTGGATTGCTGCTTAGCAAACCTTACACAACCCTTTGAAATTGAAAAAGTGACACAATTTACTTCTTCCGAATCTCATTGCACTCCAATTCAATCCCCTGATCAATGCAGGATCTCCAGCTAAAAGTATCCCCAACAGAGAGCTGTCCAGAAACATACATGACTCTATGGCAGGAAGTGTGGGTGTGAATTGTTGTTGTTGTTATTATTATTATTATTATTATTATTATTATTATTATTATTATTATAAACACAACAAGATTAGTACACAGCAAGCAAGGTCACTCTGCTGGCTTTTGTATTTGATCACATGTCTGACACTCCCCAATTGTCTAGGACTGTGTGATGTATTGGCGAATAATGTGTACAGATTCCAGTAGGGTGGCCTTTTGCAGGGGACAGATCGTAACTTTGTCAGCGTCGATTGTGTTTAAGTGCAGTCCAAGGTCTTTAGGCACTTCATCCAGTGTGCCAATCACCACAGGGACCACCTTTACTGGCTTGTGGCAGAGTCTTTGCAGTTTGATCTTTAAATCCTTGTGTCAGCTTTTCCATGTGTTTCTCTTCAATCGTGCTGTCACCTGAGATCACATCTATGATCCATACTTGGTTTTTTAACACGATTGTGAGGTCAGGAGTATTGCAACCCAAAACTCTGTCAGTTATTATTTTACTCTCTTGCAATGCTTGATATTTGGGAAGTAAAGGAAATTTTAATTTGGAGACATAGAATTCTTTGTATTGTCGAAGGCTTTCATGGCCGGAATCACTGGGTTGTTGTAGGTTTTTCCAGGCTATATGGCCATGTTCTAGAGGCATTTTCTCCTGACGTTTCGCCTGCATCTATGGCAAACATCCTCAGAGGTAGTGAGGTCTGTTGGAAGTAGGAAAATGGGTTTATATATCTGTGGAATGAACAAAATCTGGCTACCAGTATTAAAAAACTCAAAAATTACAACAGCAAAACAACAGAGAGTAAGCAATCAGGCACATCAAATCACTCTCAACAAAAGATTCCCCCCAGGCACTTCCAAGCCATTAAATGCTAATCAAGGTGGTCAGTTGAAACATTCACACCTAGCTCCAGCAGACAAAAGTCCTTTGTCCCACCCTGGTCATTCCACAGATATATAAACCCTTTTTCCTAGTTCCAACAGACCTCACTACCTCTGAGGATGCTTGCCATAGATGCAGGAGAAACGTCAGGAGAAAATGCCTCTAGAACATGGCCATATAGCCCGGAAAAACCTACAACAACCCATAGAATTCTTATCTGGGGAGCAATTATTTTATTTACCCCCACCCCACTGGAGAGAAACACACAATGCAGCTCTCCAATGTAGACTGAAATTCCCATTTGGTGTAGTTAAAATATGTAGGAATGTTGGGATTGGCAGTCTAACAACCTCAAGGGTTGCATGGCTGCCATCCTTCATGCCACACAGCCCAATGTTGCTCCCTTCTGAATAGCTGGTCTGGAGCACTCTTGCAGGTTTTGCTTGAAGAATATATACAAAAATTCCCTGCTATTTTGATAACTGACCAAATTCCAGGCTTTAAGGAAGTACCAAGTACTAATGTGAGGGTGATCTGGCCACAACATCTGTCACCCCATTGACCGCCAGGGTTGATTCGGCTAATTTGGTTGGCTAGGTGGGTGTCCACTTCTTCCCTCACCGCTACATGTGTGGGACGTCCCCCCTGAAGCTGTGTGCTTGATGGAAGAGGACGACATCCCAGTTATAGAAAGAGTGTACCAAGGTCTCCAGTCTTCAGTTCCAGGTATATGATAGCTGCACTACCTTGCTAGAACCTTCAAACAAGCTCAAATAACAGCTAAAATGCTTCTAGCAATTCACCTTGCATGTCTTTAGCAGATGGGCATAAATTTTAGTATACACGTTGGGTATTTGTTGAACAGTACTTGTAACCACAAAACACGTTTTTCCCTTTAATTTCCAAAGCAATGTTGTTTTAAAGTTTATTTTAATTATAAACAGGTGATGAGAAGAGCACTTGTGTCTGAGCAAATCAATTTTTCAAGACAAAACGTGGTTAGTTCTCTGTCTCACTTATTTCTTTCTAGAATAAAACTGATTAGAGAGAAGCTATTCTAACCAATTTCATGCCATTCAAGTGAGTCTAGAAGAGGTTACTGACATTTTAAATTAAAATCAGGTTTCATTCCAGGAGCAAACCATTTTCTTCCCTTTATATGTCTAAAGCAAACCAGTAGTTCAGAGTTTTCCAAATGTGTAGGGGCTCAAGAAAAGAGGCTGTGGTGGAAGGGAAGCATAGAATTAGAAGAAACCTCCAGAGAGCATCCAATTCAATCCCCTTCAGCCGGGCACAGTCAAAGCCCTCCCAACAGATGGCCATCCAGCCTCAGTTCAAAAATCTCCAGAGGATACTCCACTATATAGGAAGACAAACAGACAGACAGATAGATATAATGAATTTTTTCCTTGGGGTTATCACAAGTCAGTAATGACTTGAAAGCAAATAATAGCAAAGTTAAAAGTGACATTTGGGAAATTACATAATATATAAAACTTTATTTGCATACTGCTCTATCTCCCCAAGGGGACTCAGGGCAGTTTCCAGCATAGGGCAATGCATTCAATTACCAACTCAAAATCATACAAATAACCATTATAAAACATAAACATAATACTATTAAAACAACCACACACATTTCCGGTATTATTCCATTGGTCAAGATTTGAACTACTAATGACCAGGATTTCAAAGTGGGCCTAGACAGCTATGAGAGGGCTGGGCCAGGACTAGTGCAATGAAGTAGTATAGGGCCGGGGAGGTGGATAAGATGCAGAGCAGGGTCCTAGCTGATGGCCAGGGTAGGGCCGTGGGCTAATCATTTTCAAAGGCTGGAAGCACCAGGTTTTCAGGTCCCTGCAGAAGGAGGATAGTGATGAAGCTTGTCTTATCTCTCTGGGGAGGGCATTCCAAAAGCAGGGGGCCACCACTGAGAAGGCCCTCTCCCTCATCCCCACCAACTTCACTTGGGATGGTGGTGGGATTGAGAGAAGGGCTTCCTTGGCAATCTAAGAGTCTGTGCTGGTTCATAGGGGGAGAAGCAATCATGGAGATTCTATTTATATGCCGCCTTTCCTAACCCTGACATCAGTCTCCACAAACTAAAAAAAAAACCCTTCCTATTTATTCAGGGTGTTGATGTGTGTTCATAACAGTTCCCTAGTTGAATTCCCTAAGCAGTTCCAAGGAGTGCAGCCCCAGCAATTTAAAGCATCAATCCAAGCAAGCTATTTGTTCAAGATGGTAAGCCATGTCAGAAGAAAGATCTCGTGCCATCTAAAGGTCTGAAAAACTGCACCTTCTTTAAAGAGATGGAAAACAATCCTCTGGCACTTTTGAGACTGAAAAAGTAATGCCTTCCATAAGCTTTTGTGGTCTCCAGTCCACTTTCTCAGATTTATGGCCTGACAAATGTATATAGTGCTATGACTGTTGCTGTTGTGTGCACTTGTCATTTCCAACTTATGGTGGCCCAAGCCAAACTCCCCTATGTTTATCTGAAGTTAAGAGTGTGTGACTTACCTAAGGTCACCCAGTGGTTTTTGATAATTGAGCAAGAGTTTTAAAAATCCTGTTCTCCAGAGTTGTAGTCCAATGTTCA